GTACTAGTATGTATTCATAATTTGTAATTAATATAGGCCTTGGTGGTTTATGGCTCTATCATCGGTGCGCAGAAGTTTTAATTTATTTATGTTAATCTCTTGGATTTTTTTGTCATATTTGTTTCAATGCTGTCCCCTCTGGGTTAATGTTTTTGGTTTTTTGTTTTTATTTTGTAGTGTTTTATTGGTGTTAAAGTAATATGAGTTCTGTGATGTACATTTTCCTTTTTTACTCGTTTTTTTAGAATTTCTGAACCCTACCCCTCCACAAGTTAAGTCCCCTAAATTATATTAGGATAAATAGTTATGGTATTTTTTATCAGAATGTTTCAAAATGTTACCTATTTAGTTTCAATAATTAACTTGAACTATTATTAATTTGTGTACCTAATTGTTATTTATTATTTGAGTATTAAGGTTTACCCAATAAAAAGAGATAACTCTGAAACGGTCGCCATTTTCTAAAAGACGCACTTCCAGTTCGTCATTGCCATCTTGATTCTAGTTGGTTAATACACATAACATGCTCTTTACACATACATAATTATACAAACATAATAGATACAATATCTTGGTGTAGGAAAATAAACATTTTTTTATGATAATTTCATCTGTCGCATGTTATTCGTCACGTATGTGGGTACTGGGGTTTAAACAATAAGACGACATTTGTCATCGACAACTATTTAATTACAGACTCACTTCCACTTCGTCATTGCCTCCTTGATCTTAGTTTGATAAAAGCCTCACTTCCGTGTAAACGTCATGTACTTTATAAGTTTATTAGAAATTTACAGATAAAGATTTTCAGTCTACAACAACCTATTTATTCCTCTAAAAAAATGCGAGAATATCGTTTGATATTTGTAGCAAATAGACGAGTAAAATATTTGGAATAGTGTCAAAAAGTTTACTGTCTTGTACCCCATTACCCCAACCTTAAACGTAGATTTTTCTGTATACGATTTACCTACTTTTTTTTATTGCATATACAAAAAATTTAATAAGTAAATAAGTGTGTTGTGAACAGAGATAAGATTGGATAGAATAAAACAAGAGTAGAATGGCATAAATAGAGCGCTCTCCTATCTAATGAATTATTTTTATCCGTTTAAATTTAACGTTAGGGCCGTGTGTTGCTGAATAAATTCGCGGAATCCAGAAAGATCAACCGATTTGTTTATCAATTAGTGTCGTACATGGAACATTGCACTCGTGTAATGTAAGCATGGGTCGGTTGAAAAGCGATAGAACACAACAACCGTCAATTAACTCATCAGTGGATGGAAGATCGCTCGTCTAGTTCCAAAATTGGTTTAGAATTGACTGTCGTCTATGATCCATGTCCACCTGGTCATCGTGGATTAAAACTAGTCTTTTTTTAACCTTTAGGAGTTCATTTTAAAAACATCTTTTTATTTGAAACGATTATCGATGAAACGAAATCGATTTCGATCAAACTTTTCAGTAGGAATGGTATAAGGTAACGGCCTGGTCTGTGACTATCGGAGAGGCACATGGAAACAATTAAACTCAATAAATTGTGAGATTTCCTCATGGGATCTGCGAGGTAATAAACAACCTTTGGATGTTTTGTTTAATCTTTTCGGTTCATTTTTTTTCTCTCTTTTTGATTAAACGCACGTCCGGGACTACACTAGGTCGGTGGGGCGAGGCGCGGAATTGTGAAGGTCCGCACACTAAGTAGGAACCGCTCTCGGCCGCGTTGGTCGATTTTTTCCCTCCATCTGCCAGCGCTGGGTTTAGTGTTGATTTGGCATTTCCAAGAGTCTCACGTCACAATTGTTGGCTTCGTCTTTACAATTATGGCGTCCGAGGGCAGCCGAATATACCCAAACTCAACGATTTCTGACCGCCCCGGCGCACACTAGGCCGGTAGGGCGGCGCGGAGCCGGGTTCCAGAAGTCTGGCAACTTCCTCCGGCTCCGCGCCGCCCTACCGGCCTAGTGTGCGCCCAGCTCAAGACTATTACTTAAAATTTGCAAAGGATTAAGGCAAGGACGTTTATTGGTGAGTGGAGGTTTGGGTTGATTCGATAACCTTTCATCCCTATTGTCGATGAGCTGAAGTTTTAGTTTATTTAGGCTCCGAGTTTTCTTGACATACTTTGTTTAATAGAAATGATGAATGATGGAGTGCGGTGTTCAATCCGTGTTTTAAAAAAGATTGCTTTGTTTAATGTTGTCTTATCTGGGACGCTCACTTTTTGGCCTAGCAGTCGTGGTGATTTAGTGATTTCCACCCTTGAATTTCTGATTCCTCCCCAAAAATATTCCGTCCATTACCAAAATTATTGGCTGGGCTAGAAAAAAAAAACGTAGAAAACGACTAAACTTAAAAATTGCAAAAGATTGAGGTTAAGGTATTTATTTGTGGAGGTTGTCTAACAATTGGATAAACGTTAACCGTTTATTGGTCGGCGATGGTGTGGGCTGGTTCGATTGCTTTTCTTCTCTATTGTGAATGTGCTGAAGTTTTAGTTTATTTATGCTCTGAGTTTTCTTGACATGTTTTGTTTAATGTTGTCTTATCTGGGACGTTTACTTTTTGTCCTAGTGGTCGTGGCTATCGTAAGGTCATCTTAGGTTCCACGTTCTACCATAGCTTGTGAATGTCCATTGTGCTCTAAGATTTCTATTGAGGTGGGCATTCTACGCTAATCGTCTGTCGAGGACTAATCCTAAATGATATTAAGAATAAGATTAAAAGGAGTCGGCCTCTTTCCGATGTTGGTTTACTGTGCAATATCAATATCTGACAGATGACTCTGGATTTTGCGGTGTCCAGTCTGTAGTCCTATTGTCATTATAGTACACATCCTAGATTTACCAGTTTTCGCTTGTTTCCCTGATGGTCCTTTCATGAATTTTTCGCCTATTTGGTCAGCATTCGCATTGAAACGATGACATATTTTTAATCTTTCGTCTGATGGATCTTTTATTTGGCTATTTGGTATGCCGCGAAAGGTTCAGGGCCGATAGGTGTCTTCATCGAACCTTCCTTGGTCAATTTATCGACCTCCTCGTTACTCCTGATACCCAAATAAAGGTAATTTTGGCGTTATACCCAGTATCTGGCAGGGTTTGATGCAATCCCAATTGGCTGTGGACTTTACTACCGATTGCCGTTAGTGCTACTACTAGTTGTGTGATTTTTTTGAAATGCTTTATTTCTTAATTTCGGTGGGTCAAAAATTTCAGATTCATCTTCTATTTCCTGATTAGTAGCAAAATTGTTCTTACTGTATTACAGGGTGAGATTAGTTCTATGATTTCAATTGAGAATGTTGTACTGGGAATTTTTTTAATCATATCCTACATTTTCTACAGTTTCAGCGACAAGTGGGTCAAGTCGTAAGATTCAGTTAATTTTAAAGGTTCATGATTTTCACAAAATCATGCGGCGTATACAATTTTGTGGCGAATACATTTTTCCGATTCACTCATAAGTATAGCTTCCTGAAGTTTTTTTTCCATGTGCTTAACTGGATTTTCACAATTTTCGATTTATCCCACTTTTTCCCTGCAACCGCAGAAAACGGAAGTGGTGGATTTTATAATAATGAGTATATTACAAGTGAAACTAGATGAGAGAAAAGGTGGAAGTTTTCAGTTCACCAATGTGACGTCGTCATCGGGGAGTGTCCGTACGATTTCTGAAATAAGAGAGGACATACGAAATTGGGTTTTATGTCACTCTACAAATGACGATCAATAATAAATCAATAAATATCAATCAATGAAATAGCGTTAACGGAATGGTTTCTGGTTCACCAATATGACGTCATAATCGGCGAGTAATTTAACTATTAATGAACTAAAAACACACAAATAAGTTCATTAATAAAGATAAATAAATAAATGAGAGTTTCGGACATTTTCGGTTCGGCAATAAGCATAATAGGATAAAGCATTTCATACAATTTCAACAGCCAATTAGATGTCTGCTGTGTGCCCTTAATGTTCGTTTTCACTAGGTTCTTATTAACTCATTTCAACAGTTCTTAATATCCACCAAGTGATCAAGAAGAATAAAAGGGAAAATAATTTTACAATTGCGCTATAATAAATGCAAATATAATATTTTCCATAAAAGGAATTTCCGTTTTATGATGATTCCCCAGTGTTTTTATTCTAGATTATCATAAAATTATAAACCAATTCTAACTCTCTGTTTTTGAATATTATAATAAGGGATATTTTTTATGTTTTTGCAATGCAAATGAGACTTTCAGACCCCGGTCTGCATTGGTTGGTCGGCTCGATGGCGTAAGCCTGGAGAAAAAGCGCTACCCTTCCAAAGGGTTTGCTAAGCTTTTAAAGAGGTCGTCAGATATTCAGCTCAACACTCACCTGTTGTACACTTGAACTTCCACTCACGATCCCACAGGACCAATTTAGAAGGCTTTCCGCAAGAAATACAAAACCCTCTCTTCTACCAAAGAAGGAACTTTTCATTCAAATCTTCAATGTCCCCTTCGCTTACAAACAGGACGCATTACAGCTCTTATTCACACACACATGCACACTAATATAAAGTTAAATTGAACTTCTTTTTGTAAGATTTAAGCAGTCTTGCGTATTAACCCACCTTCCGACTTTTGTATCTCTCTCGTGAAATATTGATCTTCCGAATTAATGCAAGGTTTTCGTCCTCGAGCCATTTTGCACCTTTCAGTTATCAATCACAGTAAATATTAATTCCATGTTGTATGTTTTGTTTTTAGTCTACGTTCATCAAACAAGAAGAGATATGCAAGCAGGGTCATAAGATGTACTTTATTTTCTAGTCGGGTTACTTTTTCCTAGTCAATTCATAGACTGCCGGTAAATGTCTCTAAGTAATAGAAACGACTAAATTTAACAATTTTATTTCTTGCGTAAACAGCATAAGGGAGAGTTGACAGTCTGGGGTTTTAACTTTTGACGTATATGTTTATTCACGTTTTGAGATAAGGTCTAACGGGACTTTTGTTTCAGGTATGGTGACATGGTACCGGAAACGATAGCCGGGAAGATTGTCGGCGGTGTATGCTCGCTCAGCGGTGTCTTGGTGATAGCTCTACCTGTACCTGTGATCGTTTCCAACTTCAGCAGAATCTACCACCAAAATCAGAGAGCGGACAAACGAAAAGCTCAGAGAGTGAGTAAAAACTGAGATATTTTGAGAAAAAAAGGTTTATTCTCTATTAACAAGGGTTTTCTCAAAAGTGTTGAAAAACCGTTCGTCTCGCCAAGATCAGCCTTTCTTAGTTTGCCATTTTTTTTTTTAAACAATCTGTACATTCAATTTCACTCCAGAATATATCAAATCGTGTTGCTTATTATAAGTTATTAGCGAATGTGAGTCGTGTCGCTTTTAATTTCGTACACCTATGCACTATTATATTATGTGTTCGTAGATGACGGGAAAGTCTATTGTTTTTCGGTGATTTTTAGGGCGCTCTATAGAATGGATAGAGTTTTATTAACTAAGTAGCTTCGGATTTATACTAAAATTGTACAATTTAACGAGATAATTACAATTTAGACGTAGAGAATCATGCCAAAGTTTTGGACAAAAACGGGGCATCCAGAATTTTTCAAAGATGGATGTAAAGCATGGGAGCATTCTAACTCCTCTGCTATTTGGTCTTTTCTTTAACAACGTGTAGAGACCCTTAATTACTGTCTTTAAAGTAATAATTTCTGAGTTTACCATACAATTTGAATTAACTAAGTAGCTTCAGATTTATACTAAAATTGTACAATTTAACGAGATAATTACAATAAAGACGTAGAGAATCATGCCAAAGTTTTGGACAAACACGGGGCATCCAGAATTTTTCAAAGATGGATGTAAAGCATGGGAGCATTCTAACTTCTCTGCTATTTGGTCTTTTCTTTAACGGCGTGTAGAGACCCTTAATTACTGTCTTTAAAGTAATAATTTCTGAGTTTACCATACAATTTTAAACTAACTATACATTCAATTTTAGTCCCAGAATATACCAAATTGTACTACGTTGATTCCGCTAGAATGATGACCTACTTTTATTAGGGAATAGGTGCGTGTTGGTTTTAAGTAGGCCTATGCATTATTTTATACATATTTGAAAATGACGGAAAATCTATTTTTAAGGCGGTGTATAGAATGGATCGATTTTTATTAACTAAGTAGATTCGGGATTTATGCTAAAATTGTGCAATTTAACAAGGAAACTAATCATAGACAATTATACCAAAGTTCGGGACAAAAATGAGCCATCCGGCACATTTCAAAGATTAGACTGGCGCATGGGTACACTCTGAACCCTCTCCTAAACGGTCTTTTTTTTTAAGGACATGCTAGAGACATTGGATGTCTCTAAAGTGTTAATTTCTGAGTTCGCAAAAAAAAAAATTAACAATCTATACGTTCAATTTCACCAAAATTGTTTTACGGCCAAGAATTTCCGACAAAAATATGTTATCGCTCAGTGGAGACGGAAGTGGGAAAAATTAATTAAAAAAGTAAATAAATACCTGTTGGACATATATGAAAAGCAAGGTTTTCAACAAATCATTATATTTGTTAAAAACGAAACCCAGGATGGATAATTAAAAAATAATAATAAAAGTCCCCAGCACCGAAGAAGAGAGGAAAGTCAAAACTTAAATGATTTCAACTTACCCTGAAACCACTAGAGACCTCAAGGAGTGGTCTCTACAACAAAAAGTAAAATAAAATACTCTTGAATTATAGAAGAAAAATGAACACTTTTATTAAAAAACATTCGAGCAAAACTATGATATCCGTTAACAGCTAATTAAATTACAAAAAAAACCAACAATTGTGTAAAACCAACAAAACGACAAAAACCTAACATACTATGCGTTCTGAGCTACTTAAGGACTAACATTAAAAAGATACTGTAGAAAAGCGTCCAAATTCAAAGATATACATAATTTGTTTTTTCTACGTAAGGTATTGGTTGAGATTAAAAAATCAGTGTCACGAGCGGGATTCGAACCAACGACCTTCGGATAAATACGCCGCTGCTCTACCACTTGAGCTATCGTGACTTCGATCCTCGCGGACACCAACCTCCCATTTCAACCTACCTTTCGAATTTTCCTTCCTTTTTGCCATTTTTCAATTCTATCAAATTGCTTTTAATGTTCTCTTCAAGTGTAAATTGAGTGTCTGATAGAGGTTCGAAAATAGCCGGTTCTAAATAATGAATTCTAACCTTGTTTTTAATGTCAGGATTTAATAAGTGGATAATGTGCGTACACCAAGAATGAAGGGTGATATTGTTGCCACAGATAAATGTTTTATTTTTAAATTTGTTTATCTCTCTCCAGAGTACACACCAACTCTCCATCTCAACATACAACCTTTCGGATTTTCCCTCTTTTTGCCATTTTTCAAATGTCGTATAATCATGATTCGATTCTCAGCGACTTAGGAAGTGGCCACGGGAAGCTGTTTAGTGAAGTGATACTTCTTTTACTTATTAAATATTAATTCATTTACGTTTTAGTAGTCAATTGACCAAGTTACTTCTTTCAATTGCCTCAACCAAGAACTTACATAGAAAAAATAATTAATTGAAAGAAGTAACTTGGTCAATTGACCACTAAAACGTAAATGGATTAATATACATTTATATTTTATTTTCTGGTGGCGCTGCTGCCCTTCTCCATGTCCATCCGAGGATTTTCCGGAGAGCCTTTTTCACCGCCCCGGGCTCCTTATTCAAGCCCCGAATCCTTTTCCGAGACCCTTCCTGATCCCTCCGCCCAGGATGGCCTCAGCTGCACAAGAGGAGGAAAATCCGTCGCCTTTTCCCAGGATGATTTCATCGCATTTCATTCACTGCTCTAATTAATTACTAACTTTATGCACACTTGATTTATGGTTAGCAATCAAGCTTTTTCTTCAAAATTTGCACACTTTTGATTAAAAAATAGTTACTACTATTACTAGTTAAATTTGTAAACACCTAAGAAGATTCCAGCAAATTATTTAAGGGCGCGATTGTGATCTGACATTAAAAAAAAATATTTAAGAGTTGTGAAGAAGTCTATAAAATCGGTTTAATTTAAAAATGAATATTTGGGTAATAGCCTAAGGTTCATGGGTTACTCCTCGTCGCTTGCGTGTTCGTCACATAATGGTACGAGTACCAGAGAATGCGAGTGAGATTTTGACGAGGCCCAGAGAAGGGAGAGGGGAAAATGGAAAATTTATGGCTTACCCTTATATCCACATGGGATCGGGGATGCCAGTGATTTCCGAGGGGCTGGGGTGGGATTCGTGGGATTTTCGCAGTGCCCGATCTCCCGGTTCTACTCCTACTCCCACCCCCGCAAAGCTCGCGATCGATCCAACGGAATTCTAACTCCGACATTCTCCTGAACACCTGCTATCTTTAATATAAAAGATTTTTTTTTAATCGGCCTTTTTCCATTTCGAAAAATGCACTTGGATTTGGAGAAAAAAATATCTTTGTAAAAATAAGGGTCTTATTATACTCTTTTGTACTTGGAATGACAACGAATAGAAAAACAGTAGCCATTTCCGTGATGCGATCAATTCTTTTATGAAACAAAAGAAAACGTTTCGTTACAATAATTACATTGGAGCTGTATGCACACTTCTTCAAATTTTCCTCTTCCTTTTTTAGTTAGATCTATTAATTCACTAAATGTTTTCTCCCCTTCACAGAATGTTTTTGTTAATTATAAATTTTTTATTTTAAAGTCTTTATTTTCATGAACTATGCATAAGATAAAATAGCATAATGTTATATATTATTGGGTTGTCCGGAAAATAATGCAGGATTTTGGTATTAAACAAAAAAAAAGAAACTAGTTACTTTAAAGCAATGTTCTTTAATCAAAATAATTTCCCATACTCTCAATACATTTCTCCCAACGTGTTGGTAACTTATTAATTCCGTCTGAGTAGAATTCAGAATTTTTAGAATTGATAAAGTCAATAAATGCATTTTCCAGTTCCGTTTGATTTTTGAATATTATGTGTTGTAAGTAGTGGTCCAGGTGTCTAAAAAAATGGTAGTCAGTAGGCGAGAGGTCCGGAGAGTAGGGTGGGTGAGGCAAAGTTTCATAGCCAAGCTCCAATAATTTTTGTGACGTTACACGTGACACATGTGGTCGAGCGTTGTCATGCAACAAAATGGGCCCTTTCCGATTGATCAAAGAGGGCTTCATTACTGCCAATTTCTGATGCATGGTATTAATTTGGTTACAGTATGATTCAGCATTGATGGTTTCGCCAGGATTTAAGAAGCTGTAGTGTATTAAACCAAATGAAGCCCACCATACCGTAACCATTACCTTTTTTTGATGAGTTGGGGGCTTTGGAAAATGTATTGGAGCTTCTCCTTTGTCGAGCCACTGTCCAGAACGTCTAGTGTTATCGTAGAGAATCCACTTTTCGTCACATGTAACAATTCTGGCCAGAAATGGGTCATTTTTGTTTCGACAAAGAAGTGATGCACAAACATCAAAGCGCTGATTTTTTGGCGATCGTTTAATGAGTGTGGAACCCAATTTTCGAGTTTTTTCACTTTTCCAATCGCCTTGAGGTGGTCAGCGACGGTCGTTTTACTGACTTTGAGTTGCTCTGCAAGTTCTCGAACAGTTGTTTTGGGGTTTTCTTCCACCACTGATCGCAGAACATCATCATTAAGAGAGGAAGGCCTTCCACGACCTTCTTCATCTTCAAGGCTGAAATCTCCCTCCCGAAATTTTTTAAACCACCTTTGCACAGTGCACTCATTAACACAACCCTCGCCCCAGACTTGGTTAATGTTTCTAGCCGTTTGGGCTCCGCTTCGGCCGAGTTTAAACTCGTAAAAGAAAATCGTACGAAATTCTCGCTTTGACATTATAAGGATGACTGAATTATTTCCAAGTAGCGGAATGCTACAGAGGTAAACAAACAATATCATTTGGAAGAGGATTAATAAGTGTTGACATTCATACAAATGAGTAATCCTGTAAACGTAAACAGAATATTTTATATAGATTTTTTTTAATGAAAACTTAAAATCCTGCATTATTTTCCGGACAACCCGATAGCTTAAAGACAGTGTTTTACACCTATATGGGAGTCTTGATTTACTTAAAATTTCCAGCAATTTGAATTTATAC